TAAAAACAATGAGGGAACATCCCTATTTATAGATCCTAACTATGACTAATTCTAATATACCTAGGAAACATATTAAAGCAATAAAATATTAAATAACCTATACAATCTAGATATTATTGTGCAAAAAGGAAACTAAATATCTAGAGTCCTAAATTGACTAGATCTTGATTTTGCTTGGCTTGCACTCCAAACAAATCCCATCCATACGCCCTTTTGCACTTCGGCCGCCTTATACGCGCACGACCGCCTCTCGCGTTGCCTATTCCTCGTCGCGCGCCGCTTCGTGCGCACGCGCCTCGCACGCGTCATCCTTCGCGCCGCCTTTGCCTTGCCTAGTCCCGCGCGGACTAGGCTTCTCGTACCTGCTTGCTACGCGCGCGCCTTCTTGCGCGCTACTCTTTCGCGACCGCCCTTGCGCGTGTACGCGCCCAGCACTTCCTATTCCTCCCTCGCATAGGCCTGCGCTCGCGCCTGTCGCCCACTCGCGTGCTATCGCGCGCCCACCACCTCGTCCGCTAATCTCGCGCGCGTACGCCCCAACATCCGCGGTCTGCTCGCCTACCGTGCACCCGCGTACACCCATCGCCGCCCGCGTGCTGGCCACCCGTCCTCGCGCATCGTCCAGCGCCCGATACACGCCCGTCCATTCGTAGCAATCTCTTGCGCGCATCGACCACCCAACATCCACCCCTTGCGCGCCACTTCGCCAAACCATCAAGCGCCATGCGCGTCTACGCCAATGCACGTGTGCGCGCCCTTCTTGAATGCGCCTTTTCCTGTGTACTTGTGCGCCTCGCATACGAGCTCGTACCCGTCTCTTAGGCCATGCGTGCGTCGTTTTGGCCCTATTTTCAGCCTCCTCGAGTTGTCTTGGCTCTTGGCCCTTCTTGTCGTCGGGGCTCGGAACCCACTTCCGCATCAAGGACACGCGGCGGACTATGAGTGGTCAATAGCTATAACAAACTCTGACATTCTCTGACAAATGGGACGCGTTCCTAACACCAAGGATAGTGGAGGCGCGCGGTTGTACGAACGAGCAGAGGACAGTTGGCCGAACTCGCCCTACTCGCGTGTGTAGAACAGGTAACTCGCCCTTATAAATAGGGGCGAGAATCCTCATTTTCGATA